ATTTAGATAATTTAAATCATGGATTTAAATTATTTAAATTCTCCGGCCCCCAAAAGAATTTAAAAAATTTAAATCCCGGATTTAAATTATTTAAATTATTTAAATTATTTTGGAGGCCCGAGAATATAAATAATTTAAATCCCCGACCCCGAGAATTTAAATAATTTAAATAGGTTCCGGATTTCTCCGAGCCCAGACCATTTAAATAATTTCAACAATTTAAATAATTTAAATGATTTAAATCAAGGATTTAAATTATTGAAATTCTCCGGCCCCGAAAAGAATTTAAATAATTTAAATCCCCGATTTAAACTATTTAAATTATCTAAATTCTTTTGGGGGCCGAGGAATTTAAATAATTTAAATCACCAATTTAAATCATTTAAATTATTTAAATCATTTAAATTATGTAAATGGTCTGGGCTCGGAAAAATCCGGAACCTATTTAAATTATTTAAATTCTCGGGCCTCCAAAATAATTTAAATAATTTAAATAAATTTAATCCAGGATTTAAATTATTTAAATTCTTTTCGAGGCCGGAGAATTTAAATAATTTAAATCCCTTATTTAAATTATTTAAATTATTTTGGACGCCGGAGAATTTAAATAATTTAAATAGGTTCCGGATTTCTCCGAGCCCAGACCATTTAAATAATTTAAATAATTTAAATAATTTAAATAATTTAAATAATTTAAATCAAGGATTTAAATTATTTAAATTTTCGGGCCTCCAAAATAATTTAAATAATTTAAATCGGGGGCTTAAATTATTTAAATTCTCCGGCCTCCAAAAAAATTTAAATAATTTAAATCAGGGATTTAAATTATTTAAATTCTTTCCGGGGCCGGAGAATTTAAATAATTTAAATCCCTGATTTAAATTATTTAAATTATTTAAATTATGTAAATTATTTAAATAGTCTGGGCTCGGAGAAATCGGGAATCTATTTAAATTATTTAAATTCTCGGGCCTCCAAAATAATTTAAATAATTTAAATAATTTAAATAATTTAAATCGGGGATTTAAATTATTTAAATTCTCCGGCCCCCAAAAGAATTTAAATAATTTAAATAATTTAAATCGGGGATTTAAATTATTTAAATTCTTTTGGGCGCCGGAGAATTTAAATAATTTAAATCCCTGATTTAAATTATTTAAATTATTTAAATTATTTAAATTATTTAAATTATTTAAATTATTTAAATTATTTAAATTATTTAAATTATTTAAATGGTCTGGGCTCGGAGAAATCCGGAACCTATTTAAATTATTTAAGTTCTCGGGCCTCCAAAATAATTTAAATAATTTACTAAATTTAAATCAAGGATTTAAATTATTTAAGTTCTTTTCGAAGCCAGAGAATTTAAATAATTTAAATCCCTTATTTAAATTATTTGAATTTTTAAATTATTTTGGACGCCGGAGAATTTAAATAATTTAAATAGGTTCCGGATTTCTCCGAGGCCAGACCATTTAAATAATTTAAATAATTTAAATAATTTAAATAATTTAAATCAAGGATTTAAATTATTTAAATTCTCGGGCCTCCAAAATAATTTAAATAATTTAAATAATTTAAATCGTGGATTTAAATTATTTAAATTCTCGGGCCTCCAAAATAATTTAAATAATTTAAATCAGGGATTTGAATTATTTAAATTCTTTCCGGGGCCGGAGAATTTAAATAATTTAAATACCTGATTTGAATTATTTAAATTATTTAAATTATTTAAATTATTTAAATGGTCTGGGCTCGGAGAAATCGGGAATCTATTTAAATTATTTAAATTCTCGGGCCTCCAAAATAATGCAAAAAATTTAAATAATTTAAATCCGGGATTTAAATTATTTAAATTCTCCGGCCCCCAAAAGAATTTAAATAATTTAAATCTGGGATTTAAATTATATAAATTCTTTTGGGGGACGGAGAATGTAAATAATTTAAATCCCTGATTTAAATTATTTAAATTATTTAAATTATTTAAATTATTTAAATTATTTAAATGGTCTGGGCTCGGAGAAATCCGGAACCTATTTAAATTATTTAAATTCTCGGGCCTCCAAAATAATTTAAATCATTTAAATAATTTAAATAATTTAAATCCAGGATTTAAATTATTTAAATTCTTTTCGAGGCCGGAGATTTTAAATAATTTAAATCCCTTATTTAAATGATTTAAATTATTCAAATTATTTTGGACGCCGGAGAATTTAAATAAAAGAAAAAGGTTCCGGAAACCGAGCCCAGACCATTTAAATAATTTAAATAATTTAAATTATTTGATTCCCCGGCCCGAAATTATTTAAACTATCGCGGCTCGATTTGGCCAAATTTTGCCGGGCAGTCTGCGGGCCAAATTTGGCCAAATCGGGCTGCTCGTCGTAGTCTGCGGGCAAAATTTGGCCAAAATGGGGCTGCTCGTCGTACGCGATGAGAAATGCGCGGCTCGATTTGGCCAAATTTTGCCGGGCAGCCTCCGGGCAAAATTTGGCCAAATCGAGCCGCGCCTTTCTGAAGGCCCGAAATTATTTAAACTATCGCGGCTCGATTTGGCCATATTTTGCCGGGCAGCCTCCGGGCAAAATTTGGCCAAATCGGGCTGCCCTTGGTATGCGATGAGAAATGCGCGGCTCGATTTGGCCAAATTTTGCCCGGAGGCTGCCCGGCAAAATTTGGCCAAATCGAGCTGCGCATTCCTCATCGCGTACGACGAGCAGCCCGATTTGGCCAAATTTTGCCCGCAGACTGCCCGGTAAAATTTGGCCAAATCGAGCCGCGCCTTTCTGGAGGCCCGAAATTTTTTAAACTATCGCGGCTCGATTTGGCCAAATTTTGCCGGGCAGTCTGCGGGCAAAATTTGGCCAAATCGGGCTGCTCGTCGTACGTGATGAGAAATGCGCGGCTCGATTTGGCCAAATTTTGCCCGGCAAAATTTGGCCAAATCGGGCCCCTGGACATTGAAATGAAATTAATTTTTTTAATTCCCCGATACCAAATCACGAGCCCGGGCCTCCCCCTCAATACTAAATTACGAGCCCGGGCCTCCCCCCAATACTAATTTACGAGCGCGGGCCTCCCCCCAATACTAAAGTACGAGCCGGGGAATTAAATTAATTTAAATCAAGGATTTAAATTATTTAAATTCTCGGGCCTCCAAAATAATTTGAATAATTTGAATAATTTAAATCGGGGATTTAAATTATTTAAATTCTCGGGCCTCCAAAATAATTTAAATAATTTAAATCGGGGACTTAAATTATTTAAATTTTGGGCGCCGGAGAATTTAAATAATTTAAATCCCTGATTTAAATTATTTAAATGGTCTGGGCTCGGAGAAATCGGGAATCTATTTAAATTACTTAAAATCTCGGGCCTCCAAAATAATTTAAATAATTTAAATAATTTAAATCGGGGATTTAAATTATTTAAATTCTCGGGCCTCCAAAATAATTTAAATAATTTAAATAATTTAAATCGGGGATTTAAATTATTTAAATTCTTTTGGGCGCCGGAGAATTTAAATAATTTAAATCCCTGATTTAAATTATTTAAATTATTTAAATTATTTAAATGGTCTGGGCTCGGATAAATCCGGAACCTATTTAAGTTATTTAAATTCTCGGGCCTCCAAAATAATTTGAATAGTTTAAATAATTTAAATCCAGGATTTAAATTATTTAAATTCTTTTCGAGGCCGGAGAATTTAAACAATTTAAATCCCTTATTTACATTATTTAAATTATTTAAATTATTTTGGACGCCCGAGAATTTAAATAATTTAAATAGGTTCCGGGTTTCTCCGAGCCCAGACCATTTAATTAATTTAAATAATTTAAATATTTTAAATAATTTGAATAATTTAAATCAAGGATTTAAATTATTTAAATTCTCGGGCCTCCCAAATATTTTAAATAATTTAAATAATTTAAATCCAGGATTTAAATTATTTAAATTCCCGGGCCTCCAAAATAATTTAAATAATTTAAATAATTTAAATAATTTAAATCCAGGATTTAAATTATTGAAATTCTTTTCGAGGCTGGAGAATTTAAATAATTTAAATCCCTGATTGAAATTATTTAAATTCTTTTCGAGGCCGGAGAATTTAAACAATTTAAATCCCTTATTTAAATTTTTTAAATTATTTAAATTATTTAAATTATTTTGGACGCCCGAGAATTTAAATAATTTAAATAGGTTCCGGGTTTCTCCGAGCCCAGACCATTTAAATAATTTAAATAATTTAAATAATTTAAATAATTTAAATAATTTAAATAATTTAAATAATTTAAATAATTTAAATAATTTAAATCAAGGATTTAAATTATTTAAATTCTCGGGCCTCCAAAATAATTTAAATAATTTAAATTATTTAAATCGGGGATTTAAATTATTTAAATTCTCGGGCCTCCAAAATTATTTGAATAATTAAATCCCTGATTTAAATTATTTAAATTCTTTTCGAGGCTGGAGAATTTAAATAACTTAAATCCCTGATTTAAATTATTTAAATTCTTTTCGAGGCCGGAGAATTTAAATAATTTAAATAGTTGGATTCTTGAATAGGTTCTTCATATATACAGGAAAACAGGTAGCAACATAGTACATAAAGGTCCCTCTCTCATATATATATATATATATA